ACGTAAGGTTGCGATGAGTCAGAGTCAACTTAATGGCAGCTATCTCTCTACATAAGGAGTCCTGGTGGTACAGTGGTTAAGCAGCTTGACTGCTAACTGAAAGGTCGGTGGTTCAAACACAGCAGCTGCTCCACGGGAAAAAATACCTGGTGATCTACTCCTGTAAACGTTATAGCCTAGAAAATTCTATGGGGCAATTTGACTTTACCACATGGGGTTGCTATGAGTCGGAATCGACTTAACAGCAACAGAGTTGTTTTTTTGTTTTTTTTAATGTATTTGTCTGTCTGTCCAACTATCTGTCTATCTATCTATCTTTCTGTCTGTCTATCTATCTAAGACATTGATTCAGGGAAACACGGACTATGCTAATTATGCAGATTTGAAAGGAAACACACATCAAAACTTTATCATTCCAGTTCTCTTCCATACTCAGCCCTTCTCATACTCCCTTGCTTTCTTCCCTTGTTTTCTCCTTGGTATTATTCGGGTATCCATCTGTCTCTCGTATTAAAGTCTTAGCTAGTTTGAGGGTAGGGAAGATGTCTGATTCAGTTTTATATTCTTCTATACCCCTTAGGATCTAGAACAGACCTTTGTGATGGATTTGTTCAATATTTGTTAAAGAAAGTAAATTGACTAAATTCAAATATTCAAATGTATAATTTAGACCCAAAGTAACTTGGGAGGCAGAATGTGACAGTGTAGAAAAATAGCATTATGTAAATTATGAAGAGAATAGAAATGACTGCTTTGTTTTGAAGTCCAAAATCTTCTTAGCAAGAGTCCTTACCCTTGGGTTCCAAACAAAATCCTTGCCAAAATCATCCATAGTCAAAGTACTCATTTAATTATTCATTCATTTATTCAAACTCTTATTAGGAGTCTGTTGAACACCAAGCGCATTAGTGAAATAAAACACAGTCACTGCACTTAATGATTTTACAATGGAATTGGAGAGATGAAACAAACGCTTTGATTCAACAACATTTAATAATCACTCATGAAGTGCCAGGACCCAGGGATATTGAAATAAATAATATCTAGTCTGTGACCTCTAGGAGTTTACGATCCTATAGAGAAGATTCTATATCCTTTAGACAATTTTGTCATAGAGTGGCTAGTACTACGCACAGCATAGTACCGTGCAAGGCAGAAGTATCATAGTGTGGTAGGAAAAGAGTGGGCTTCAGAATCAGGCAGACCTGGGTTTGAATTTATTATTTTCTGCTTTCTAGCTCTGTGACCCTGGGCAGGCCACTTCAAACTTCAGTTTCTTTATACCAGACATAATGTGCAAATTAATGAAATAGGGTGTGCAAAGGGCCCTTGATAAATACAGACTCTGGGTGAATGGTTGTTGTTAGAGGGGCATGGTCGAGGAAAAATTCACAGAGGAGGAGATGCTGGAACTGGACTAAGAAAGAAAATGTGACATAACTGGGCACAAAACATGAAGAAGGGCATTGCAAGTAAAAGGAACAGCACATGCAAAGGCTTGGGGGCATGAAAACCACTCAGCCTGTTTGGAAAATGATGGTAGTTTTGTGAGGTTGCAGCATAGAAAAGGAGATAGGGAAGGGCAGAAGATGAGGAGCAAGAGGGAGGCAAAAGACAGTTCAATAGAGGGCTTTGCAAATCATGGTGAGGGGCATGGATATAATTCTCTACGGCTATGCTGTCTAATATGGTAAGAATGAGCCACATGTGGCTATTTAAATGAATCTAATTAAATAAAATTTAAAGCTCATTTCCTTAGTCACACTAGCCACATTTCAAGTGCTCGAAAACCACATGTGGCTAGTAGCTACCATACTGGATAGTACAGTTATAAAAACACTGCCATGATCACAGGAAGTTCTATTAGACAGAGCTGCTCTACAGCCTTGCTACTCAAAGTGGTCAGCAGACCAATAGCATCGGTCTCACCTGGAAGCTTGTTAGCAATGTAGTCTCAGATTCCACCCCAAACCTACCGGATTAGAATCTGCATTTTATCAAGATCGCCAAGTGAGTCATGTGCAGATGGAAACTCAGCTTGAGAAGCACTGCTCCCTAGAATGAGGAGTCCTGGAACAGTGTGAGCAGGAAGCGGCATGGTCAAAACTGCATTTGAGAAGTTTGTTCTAGTAGGGGAATGAATAATATGGGGGCAAGATCAAATGAAGAGAGAGACCAGTCAGGAGACAGTGGCAACAGGACTGCTGTTGCTGTATTTGAGCAAATTAGAAAAAGGCACATTTTTCTATGTAGAATCAGCCCAAAGAGATTTGAGGAGCAGACTGCAGGTTGAATTTAAGCTCCTCTGACTGAGGCAGAGCCATGGATGGTAGAAATGGTTAATGTGCTCGGCTGCTAACAGAAAGGGTGGAGGTTTGAGTCCACCCAGAGGCATCTTGGAAGAAAGACCTGGAAATCTACTTCTAAAAAATCAGCCATTGAAAACTCTATAGAGTAGTTCTACTCTGCCATGAGTTGGAATTGACTCGATGGAAACTGGTTTGCTTTTTTGTTGTTGTTGTTCTATCCAGGCACCCTTGTGCATGAGAGTATGGGACAACATGGTAGCAATTGTCCAGGTAAGCGATAAAGAAAGCTATAATACACAACTGAGGACGTTAGTTAACAGTAACAAATCACCACTATACGGGGCGTTGTTTTGTAAATGTCACGGGCTTCAAGAGGACCAGGGCAGCAGCTGGGGTGAGAGAGTGAGGGGCCATTCTGCAAGGACCAGTAAGGAAGGCTGACCTCTTTCCATCCTGTGCTGAGGGGCAGCCCTGCTCCAGAGTATCCCTGTTTCATTTCACATCACAAAAGTGGTTATACTAATTGCCTTCAACCAGTTCTGCATTTCATGTGTATAATACTCATAATTTGAGGTTTGAGTACAATTGCAGTAAATTATACTAATCACAGGAAAACTTCATTAAACTAATAGAGGTTTATTCAAAAGTGTAGTTTTAAGCAATTAGTATTCCCCAGTTGAAAGGATGTCTTCTTATTTTATAATGAAAGATATTGAATACTTCACAACTGTATTAATTGGGAGTCCATTATTTCCGGTCTCCATGGTTTTAAAATAATGGGAGTTTTTAGAAAACGTTACCCCATTTGGAGTTACAGTCACTTTTTAAACCCTGAGCCATAATGTTAAAAAAAAACAAAAACAAAAACAAAAACTTAGAAGCAATCTTAAGTAGAAAGAGTCTTTAGAGAACTTAACTCTCTATTTTGAATACTTCTGGACTTCTAGGAATGGGCAAAGTTTAATTTATGCACTTCAAATTGCCTTAAATAGCATGAGTTGGGGCAGGGAAAATATCTACCTCTTGGTACACAATGTCTTACACACACACACAAATATACACACACGTTCTGCAATGGTTCATGCAGGAATCAGATGGCGCATTCAAGTAGGGTAATTGAGGATTGTTTAATAAAAGGATCATTTACAACAATGTAGGTAGGGCTAAGGAGAATTAACAGCAGTCTGGGTTGAGCAATAGCTGGGAGCTATTACCACTCAGGCCAGAAGGGGGAAGGGCAGAGGACACTTACTGAAACTCGGACAGGGTAGCTGCAAAAGAAGGTTGACCATCAGGAACTTCCGTCTTTGGTAAAGGGACACAGCCAGTTTACAATAACGTGGCAGGAAGAGTTGATAGAATAAAAATCCCAATCTCACTCTCCTTCCTCCCGCTTTTCTTATGGTACCTCCCATTGGCCAAACCCAAGAAGAAGCCAGAGGGTAAGAGAAGCTATTGCTGCAGTCCATTCAGGGGAACTTCCCAGGACACAAAGCAAGGTAGAGAAGGGTAGAGGGTGGGTGTAGAGGAGCAAATGGAAAATACCCTGCACTCTCTCCTAAACATACACACAGTCATACACAAACACATATCTTAACATTCTGTAACATCTTCAGTTAACAAGTACTTTAGAATATTTTTCAGACATACATCTGACCCATAGCAGGCACTCAATATATATTTATTGACTATATCAATGAAATATATTATTTGCAAATGAACTAATTTTTTTGTTATTCCTGAGAATTAGATTTCTTTATAAATTTATTTTATTTTTAAGTGACAGACTTCTTTTGGATCCAAAGACTTGTGGAAGGTGAATGGTATGTAAAACAAAACAAACCTGTTGCCTTCGAGTTGATTCTAACTCATAGTGACGCTATAGGACAGAGTAGAACTGCCTCATAGGGTTTCCAAGGAGTGCCTGGTGGATTCAAACTGCTGATCTTTTGTTAGCAGCCAAGCTCTTAACCACTACCAGGGCTCCAAATGGTATGTAAAATTTATTAAACGCTGCAATAATTTTCTTAATAGTTAAAGTTAAAGAAAAAAAATTCAATATGATTCTATCTACAGAAACAGTGAAACAAGTAGTTAATTCCAATATTACTTGAGTAGTACTAGAGGAAATCACTTCCTGTTGACAAACTTGATTGATCAAATTGTCCAGGAAGTTGACCAATTTTTCAGTTCAGTTTACCCATGGAGATGCCAATGCCCTGATAACATGTCCTTCCTTCTCAAATGATGAAATAAACATTTTCATCACCCAAGCTGTCATGGATTGAATTGTGTCCCCCAAAAATATCTGTCAACTTGACTGGGTCATGATTCCCGGTACTGTATGATTGTGTAATCTGATGTGATTTCCTTATGTGTTGTAAACTCTATCACTATGATGAGGTTATATGTGATCTCCTTATGTGTTATAAATTCTATCACTGTGATGAGGTTATACTGATGAGGTTTACAAGATTGGATAGTGTCTTAATCCAATGTCTTTTGAGATATAAAGAGAGAAGCAAGCAGAGACACATGGGAACCTCATATCACCAAGAAAGCAGTTCCGGGAGCAGAACGCGTCCTTTGGACCTGAGGTTCCTGTGCAGAGAAGCTCCTGGACCAGGGGAAGATTGATGACATGGACCTTCCTTCAGAGCTGAGAGAGGGCCTTCCCCTGGATCTGGTGCCCTGAATTTGGACTTGTAGCCTACTGGACTGTGAGAGAATAAATTTCTCTTTGTTAAAGCCATCCACTCGTGTTATTTCTGTTAGAGCAGCACTAGATGACTAAGACACAAGTTTTGCCAATGAAGCCAAAATAAATTTCCAAAACATTTTGAGCAAGCACGATTTCACAGTCTCAGTTGGCTTGTTAGTGGCAGATGTGAATTCTAGCCCTGGTTCTTCTATTCACTATTTTCGTGGATGCAGGCAGGCAACCTGGGCTCCCTTATCTATGAAATGAGGAGGCTGGACTTTGATCCCCAAGGCCCCTGGCAGCTCTAACGTCCCCATGACTCTAGGCTCTGCGTGCAAACCTCTGAACCTTTCACTGGGAAACATTCTCAGTCAAAGTACATCAAATATCTAAACACACAGTGTTTACCCTTCTGATCAAATGGCCAGTGTGTAATTTGACCCTTTCAACAAATCATGGATGTGAGAGTCAACGTTCTGTGCATGTAAACAACTGTTGGGGACAGTTTTATCATTTGAAGAAACAAGTAAATGAGATTCAGTTACTGAGATAGCTTTCAATGGGAATTTTTAAGTAGATGGAGAGGCTAGTTCTGACCTATTGCCAGGAGCACAGTTTTCCCCTGTGGAGCTGGTAGACTGGCTCTGATCCATCCCGACTCTGCCACCTGGTTTCCTTAGTAACCAAGGGCCTAGATCTGCGAGATGTTTGCAGGACATCTGGCAGGATTAAGGTAAAGATTACTGCTATCAGAGATCAAGCCCATAACCTTGGCCTTTGTAGACCCTACACTAATTAGAAGTCACCAGGCAGGGATGTGGAACCACCAAACAGCGCTGGTGAGTCAGGTCAGCACAGTGATGGAGAATGTAGACTCTGGAACCAGACTGCTTGAGATCAAATACCAGCTCTGTCCCTTGCTAGTGGCAGAATCTCGGGCAATTTAATTTGCCTCTTTGGGCCTCAATTTCCTCTTCTGTAACATAAGTTTAATAAAAGTACCTTCCTTGTGCAGTTGCTGACAGGATGAAATACACTAAAATACTAAAAGTATACAGAACTGTACATAACTAGCTCTCAATGTGAATTAGCCAGTAGTAGTAATAATATGATGATTACATAACACATAAAAAAGAAAAATAGAGATTTTCAAGACTATCATACACAGCATTGTTTTAGGGGAGATCCATCACTCATCTGTCAGTGGAGGCTTGCATGTTACTATGATGCTGAACAGATTTCAGCAGAGTTTCCAGACTCAGACTAGGAAGAAAGGCCTAGTGATTTACTTCCAAAATTAGCCAGTGAAAACCCCAAGGATCACAACAGTATGATCCCGTTGTGCATGGGGTCACCATGAGTCGGGGGCTGACTTGTTGGCAGCTAACAACAACAACAGCAAAGATGGCGTGACTTTAAAAACATGGCTTGAAAATCCTCCATTATGTTCCCATGAAAAGTATGCAAGGTTAGACTATCGGGGGCAGGGCTTGAACAACAGCAAAAGATTGTGAAGTTTAAGATCATGGGCTTTGGTATCAGGCAGAGCTGAGTTAGAATCCTAGCTCTGCAGATTACTAACTCTGTGAACTTGAGTAAATTAATCTAAGTCTGAAACTTTCCCCTAAACATACAATGGGGATAATAGCAGAATCTGCCTCAAGAGTTATGGTGATGATTAATAGACAATGCTGAAAAGATTCTCACAACACTGCCTGGAACATAGCAAACGAACAATCAATATTAATGACTATTATTACTAGGTCCAATCATACCCCATGTGGCCTATTTTCTCCCGGATGCCTATGTTTACTCAGTTACTCATTTATTTCATCTGTGAGGATTTCAACACATATTTGGGGGGGATAAAATTCAATCCATAACAGTGCCCTTAAGTATTTGACAGTCTAGCCTGGAGATGAATCATAGATACACCAAGTAATAGGAGAGCCTCCACGGAGCGGCCCAAACTCCGGTGTGCGATTACAGAGACGGGAGCAGTGCGAGGCAGTGAGGCTGTTCAGGACTGAAAGAGATGATTGGAAGATGGTCTTGATGGCTGAGGAGAGGCGGCGCGGTTTACGTTAAGAGGTACAGGCCGAACGGACATCCTGCGTTCACAATCTCAGATCTGCCACTCTCTGGCTCATGTGATTTTGCTTAAGTCACTTCACCCCTCTGTGCCTCGGTTTCCCTAGCTGTAAAATGAAGAAAATGAAAATACTTACCTCACAGAGTTAAAGCACTGAACAGGGCCTGGCTCAGTAAAAGTTGTGGTGTGGGTAAGAAAAAGGGTGGTTTTCCAGGCAGGCAAGCTATCAGGCATGCCGGCCATTGTGAGGATGATGCAGGGCCAGGCAATGTTTCACTGTGTTGTACATAAGGTCACCAAAAGTTGGGACCAACTTGATGGCATGTATGTATGTTTGTATCAAGTTATCAGGAACTTTTGTTTTAACCCAGAGATGCCCACGTAACCTGCCACTGTGCCCCTCAAAGGCTACAAAGGTAGATCCTCTTAGCCCTATCCCCAGGAAGAGCCCAATCTTACGCATGGCTTATCAGAAACACAGGCTGGTCTAAATATTTCTTTACTCTTCCATTTGGGCCATGTTTCAGCCAGTGGTGACTCAATATGACGTAGGGCACAGAAATCTCTTCTTCTTGGCCTCCTGACCTCCTACCTTCTCCATTCTCATCTCCCCAGGGTCCCAGTTTCATCCTGTCATTGCCCCTAGACTGGAGCTGGTGGGTCCCATCTTTTAGGGACCCCATGATTCCTTGACTGACATCCTGCTTGTCTGTGTTTTCAAATTCGCCCACCACATAAGCCAGCCTTTCTTGCTAAAATGATCACCTCCCGTAACATAATTTCTATATATTTTATGCCAAAATACTACTTCCATACTAAGAACCAAACCCATGGCCGTTGAATTGATTCTGACTCATACCAACCCTATAGGACAGAGCAGAACTGCCCCACAGGGTTTCCAAGACTGTAATCTTTATGGAAGCCGACTGCCACATCTTTCTCCCTCAGAATGGCTGGTGGGTTTGAACCGCCAACCTTTCGGCTAGCAGCCAAGTACTTTGACCACTGCACAACCAGGGCTCCTTTCAGGTAGAACAGGGAGGGACAATGGGAGTGAACACAGCACCCAACCTACAGAAAATATATTAAGGAATTTTCTACTTAATTCCTCACCTGAGGTCTGGCATACAGAACATTTCCTGGCTTTCTTTATAAGGTCAGCCAATACCAGGCTAAGCCCCTCGAAGCTAATTTCGGAGGGTTAAGAAGAATTGATGCCTTTGAATTATGGTGTTGGCGAAGAATACTGAATATACCATGGACTGACAGAAGAACGAACAAATCTGTCTTGGAAGAAGTACAGCCAGAATGCTCCTTAGAAGGGAGAATGGCGAGACTTCATCTTACGTACTTTAGACATGTTATCAGGAGGGACCAATCCCTGGAGAAGGACATTATGCTTGGTAAAGTAGAGGGTCAGCAAAAAAAGGAAGACCCTCAACAGGATGGATGGACACAGTGGCTGCAACAATGGGCTAAAGCATAACAACGATTGTGAGGATGGCACGGGACCAGGCAGTGTTTTGTTCTGTTGTATATAGGGTCATTATGAATGGGAACTGACTGGACGGCCCCTAACAACCACAAGAGGAGTTTACCAGAGGATTCACACTGCCTAAGAGCAGCTGGAGAAAAGCATCACCCCCTCCCTTACTGGGATTCTGATTCCAAGAGCGTAGAAAGTCCCATCATCTCCTGACTCAGACCCTGGAAATGCTCAGCAGTGACTCAGTGAGCAGCCGGGCTCACAGTGAGTGTCACCACGACTCTCATCACTGGATGCATTTGGCTTAGCTGCCATATGGCAGTTCGGAAGAGCTCTTTTGTAGTTTGATGGTCTGGAAACGACTGAGGCTGTCTTCACATTCCGTGTTGCTGGTTTATTTCTGTTTAGGAAGACAGGAGGCTGCTGGAGCATACCTTAACCTTGATGCTGCAGAAGGAAGCCTTGTGAACAGACTTTTTCATAACTCAAGTTGGAATATCCTGTTAAGGTAGATGGTAAGGACCAGAAGTTTATAAGCATTTAATAATCAGCTAATACTTTTTTTTTTGAGCAACTAATATGTGCCAGGCACTTAGCTGCTGGGGATAAAGAGACACATGAGACAAATGGCTCAGTCTAGTGGGAGAAAGAGTTGAAGAAAATAGCAATGATAATAGAGTGGGAGGAAACTGTAAGAGAGGGATATGTGGGAAGTCATGGGAGATGAGAGCCAGAAATAGCATCCAGAAACAAGCTCAAGTTGTAAAAGAAGAGTATAATTTATTGAGCACTTACTAAGCCCAGGTTCTATGCTGGATACTTTACTTATGTTATTTCAATTAATTCTTTCTCCAAAGTCACATAGCTGTAAGTAGTAGAGCTGAGGTTTGAATCCAGGTCAGTTTTAACCAAAATCCATTCCATTCCAATCAACTCCATTCCAGTTCATTCCACTAGGCAGGTCTGGGCAGGTGGGTGCTAACCAAGACCCATTCCATTCCAGTCAACTCCATTCCAGTCTATTCCACTAGGCAGGTCTGGGCAGGGGGATGCCGGGATAGAGATTTCAGGCCAAGAGAATAGCCTGCACAGTGGTAAAAAACAACTCTCTTTGTCTGATGCTGAAATCTCACCATTACCTGTAGGGGAACACTTGTCGACTACCCCAAATCCAGACTCCAAAATGGTACTGAAAGCTTAGCAAGAAGTGCTCAAAACAGGGCCTCTGCACTGAAAACATAACTGCTGGACAGATTCACACCAGCTGCTCGCTTTGCTCTCCTCTTTAATTAACGCACTCTGAATGTAGTTAAGGAGAAATGTTAAAGGCTGTCCAGCTTTGGTAGAAGACATTTGTGTTAGGTTGAACTAACCTGGAAAATTACCATGATCCAGTCAGAACTTTGATTAGAAAAATCTGCAACGTTTTCCGCCTCAACAGTTTTTGAGCACTTGGCTGATGTTTGATGCCCAGCTGGATTAATCTCCATATCACATTAAGAGGAACAAGTACTTCTCAGGTAGGTTTTTTACTGACTGCAATGTCTTTGCAATAGCCTTCCAGGGGCTTCTATGGGCTTAAATATATGACATTCAAAATAATATGTACATGAATTTCTATCCATTTCATCAAGGTAGTTGTTTTTCTCCATTTGTAATCTTTTTTTATGATTTGATTCTTCTTGCAGGAAGCAGGAGGTGCATTCAGGCCATCTTTGTGACCTTGGGCTCCACTCTCTGTGATGAAACTGGAAGCAAATCCCAGATGAGAACCCCAATTGTTCTAGAAGAACAGTGCAGAGCCCAGTGCTCCTGACCAAGTTGTCATACACCTGTTGCCTGGGTAACCATCAATCCACTAAGCCAGCCTTGAGTCATAAGTGGTGTAGGGAGAGGGTCTGCCAGGGATAGAGGGCAGTACATACACTTCTCTACCTGTTCCACCTCCAGATGTGGCCTAAGACGGACATACAAGGTGATAGAAGTCTACTGTCAGACCCCTATGGACCTAGAAGGCCCTCCTTTCCACAGCCTTCATCCAAGGATTCTCAGACCTCTACTAGTCTTATCACAAAACTTCCTCAGATTCTCACCATTGCTTAGGCTGGGCAGCGCTACTCAAAAGGCCAGTCCGCCGATTGGCACCAAATTTTTCACATCATCATCTGGTTTCCGGACCACGTTTTGAGTAGTGCTGGACTAGAGCACCTTCTCCTTAGAACCACTGTGCAGCGCATCAGAGCTCACAGACTTACCTGGACCTGTACCGGGAACTGCAGTGATGGGAAAACCTAATATATGTCTTCTCCTTTCAAGTATCCCATCCCATCCAAGATGCTACACACAAATTTAGAGAGGAAAAACCAAAAAAGGGGTCTTCACTGACCAACTCTCTTCTAGTTCTCTAAAAACACTTTTTATTTAAAGAGTAGTACAAGAAAATTTACAAAAAATAAAATATTAGTCCCAGCACCCCAAACCAAATACTACTGGCACTGTGTTGTAGTTTATTTTTCTTAGTAATAATTTATGCTGTATATGTAATACAAATTTTATTTTTAAACTTAATATTATTCCCGGATATTAGCTATGTCACATATGCTTCATGAACTTAAATTACTGGTAAAATTTTCTTGATACGTATCTTTTTAATAGGTTATTCATATTATTGCACGAATTTAAACTGGAATCCACAAGGTACAAAAATATTTAATATATAGCCTTGCTAGCGTTGACTAGCATTAACTAGTCTCCTAAAAAAAAGTATAACTTGATTGTTTTAATTGTATTTTACTTGATTGTTAGTAAGATTGTCAATATACAACTTTTTTTTCTATTTTGAAATAGCAAATTTTTGTAGAGACTTTTCTAAGCTTTGTCTTCCTTCAAGTAGATAGTAGCTAGTCATCATTGTTTTAGAGAGAATCCAATAGTACACGGTTTAAAAGACTATACTAGACATAAGCTGTGTTATCTTATGCTGCTGTTGTGGTTGCTGTCAATTCAATTCCAACTCATGGCAACCCCATGTGTGCAGAGTAGAACTGTGCCATAGGGTTTTCAAGGCTGTGACCTTTTTGGAAGCAGAATGCCAAGCCTGTCTTCTGAGGTGCCTCTGGGTGGCTTCAAACTGCCAACCTTTTGGCGAGTAGTTGAGCCTTTGTGCCACTCAGGGACTCCATCTCTTATGCTAAAACAAACAAAAACCAAACCTGTTGCTGTTGACTCAATTCTGACTCATTGTGACCCTATAGGACAGAGTAGAACTGCCCTATAGGGTTTCCAAGGAGTGGCTGG